TAGGTCAGGACCCAACCCCTGGAGCATTTGCCCTAAGAGTGCAATGGTAACATGAGTTCAGTTCAAATACAAACTCATACTGCCATAAATGTACTGCAGCAACTTTGGACCCTCTTCAACTGGCAAACTTGAGAGTTTCAGGCCACCAGAGCTCAGCCAGTCTAATATCTGAATACCTCTGCCTCAGCAGGATTTGCACCTAGGGCTTGTACAAGAAGTGTTTTCTCATACTAAACAGGAGTCTGTCCTTGACCTTTATGTTGCTGTACACCACATGTCAGTAATTCACTTCTCCTGTGCTTGCAGCAAGCACACTGCCCAGATGGAAATCCCACGCTCACAGTCCCAGGCAGCCGGCTCATGCCATCAGCCCGGTGCTTCTCACCAACATGAGACATTTTTCTACATGATTAAGGACCCACGGCACCTTCTGCTACAATAAAACTCTTTGTTCAGTCACACAAAATTTTCCTTTCAAAGCAGGTCTAGAGCCATTGTGTGAGTCATATCCTTTAATTTATCAGCAAGAAATAAGGTGCATATTCACTAAGGCTTAATCTGGAATATTTTTGCTCACAGTGGAAGCATTTCCATTAGCTTCAAAGGATCTCAGATCAAACTTCAAGAATTGCTAAGTTTTAGTCTGTCAGATTTGTTCATTTGAGGCTGTTATGAATTGCAGTTGTGTACAGAACCAAGTCATACGGAGATTAAATAAACTCTGTTGACATCAGTCTCCTGACACAGAATAGCAGCAAGAAACAAATATTGACTAGAAAAGCAACACATGTACAGTGACATTTAGCTTGTATAAAATGATAGTCTCCATATAAATGCAAATAGCACCATTTCCCCAGAGCTGAATAAATGATATTCATCAGTAAATATTTGTGTGTCTTTGACATGTCTCTAAGCAGTAAGATGAGAAATTGAGATGGAAAATATATTCACAGGTGAGAATTCAGTGCAGATTTTTCTTAAAGTTTTCCTCTTAAAGCATTTGGGAGACCTTGAAAAGCAGATTCTTCCCTTTCTAGTTAGTGACTTAAATGCAAAGCATCAGAACCACAACAGACCACAGCACACTCAGTTCCTGTCAGTCATTTCCTGACCCTGCCACTCATGCTGTGCTCCATGGCAGGGCTCTGAGCCTGAGAACACTCCCCAGAAAAGAAACCTAAAGCAGATAATTAATTTAGGAGCCTCATACCGATACTCAGAAGGGATTTATGCACCAGGAAGCTAATGCTTAACTATCTTTACATGAAAGATAGGGATTTTATGGACCAGGGTTTCAGCATCTTACATGACCTAAGCATCTTTAATAATGTAGCTCCTGTATAAAGTACATGTAGGGGCTTTCTCCTCTGTAAGAGGAACAGCAGCACAGTTCATCAATATGAGGAATGAGTGCTCAGGCTTTTCAGTTAGGAAAGAGGAGACTGAGGGCCTAAATCATTACAATTGAGGTCTTTAAAGACACAGGTGATGCAGGAAAGGTGGCTAGGTAACAATTGTTCCCCATAGGGAATGAGTCTTCCTTACAAAGTTGCACTCTTAGAATCATATTTAGGTTTGCTTCAAACTATAAAACAATGAAGACTAAATAGGATTTCAGGCATGTACCTAGAGATGATAAGCCCAGTTCATGGGCCACTTAGATTGCTGCTGAATTTCTAGAGCTGACTCAGCATTCAGGCAGCAGGAGCTACAAAAAAAAGTCAATCCCATTGCCTTTACATGGTTTCCAACTCACAAAGTGCATTTCCCTCCCTGGAGGTGCTAGTAAACGAGGCGTTGGACTGTGCCTCCTGCCAGGCCCATTACAGTATGTGAAGTATTAGACTTGCAAACTGTATTGGGATCTTCAACTCAAAGAAGTAAAAATAAGGAGTATCAGCATGTAAGAAAACCCAGCTTTTCCCACAGCAGCTCTTTCAAGTTATATTGGACATGGAATTGTTATTCTTCAGAGGAATTTTTAAGATGTTCCAGTGAGGTGCTTTAACAGTTTGCAAATGAAATAGACTTATTTCTAACGAAGGATTCCTTTTAAAAAATAGTTTTTCCACATGGGATTTGGCTTCAGCAAAACAGTCATGATTTACAACAGTTTCACAAGCTCTGCATGATTTCTGCTCCAAAAGACCATTGGAGGAGGCTCACAAGAAGGGAGTTTTGTTTCTAGTCACAAAACAAACAGATCATTAGTTCAAAAGATACTAAACTTCAAAGTAACTCTTATTATTTTAAAAGTTACCTGGAAGTCTGGAGGTCTATGGACAGTTTTTCCACTATCCACATAAATACAACCTGAGGAAGTCAAGAATATTTTTTAAGACTAAACATTATTCAAAATGAGTTTGAATAATGGATTTTCTTTTCATAAGCCTATTCAAAAGGAGAAACAAAGATTTTTTTTACTTAGAGAGATTATGCTGTTAGGTGACCAAGAGGACACTGAAACATTTTGTTCCTGGCTCCAGTTTTTAAAGTAAGAGCTTTTTGAGAAGAAATAGAGTGAACTTCTCTCTGAGTCCTCCAGCACCTTTTATGTGATTCTGTACTTCTTTCAACCACGAAGATGCTGCCTCTGCTATCCCCAGCTAAGAAACAGGGCTTCACTTCAGCACCAGTCTTCTGGTTCTGTGACAGCATGGTCTCTACAGCTGGAATTCCTGTCTTTTTGTTTGGGTTTTTTTTAAGGCAAATGTGACTGTAGTTTATTTTGCTTTGGCAAAATGTTTCTGGGAGTTGTTATGGATGGATCTTCAGCTTGGTTGATGCCTGGCAGACTGAGTCATGGCTGCAGGAAGAATTGCAGGTTTGGGAGAGGGTCTCACCTACTCAGGACCATTCAGATGTTGTGTGCCTTCACTTTTCAGCTGAACCTTACTAACCAGCTTCATGAATATCTGTCCCTGGGCCACTCATCAGTGAAGCACCATCCCAAGTGTTGTTTTTCTCAGGAGGGCTGTAAGTGCTGGCTATGGCACACTTGTCTGCTCTCTCCCCTTGCGAATTACAGGGAACGATCTCACACAGTTCAGCTGCCAATGTCTGAGAGGGTATCTCATTACCCAAGCTGTCCTCCCACCTGTATTTTATCTGACTGCAGGTGTTAGTCATACAGTCAATGAACAAATAGTCTGAATGGAAGGCTGAGCAGTAGGAGGAAGGATTATGAAGGGCCCCAGGACCTGCCAATACCCAGCGTCGACGCTCTTTTCTTTTGTGCCTGTGTGTGCGCCTTGCTGAACCATTCAGAAGAAAAAAAGGGAATTGCAGAGCAGAACAGCCAAGCCAAAAGCAGCAGTGGGTACTGACAGCAGCACAAAACCTGGGGCAAATGTTTTCCCTTGCCATAACCACCTGCTCCATAGCAAGTGATTTGGGTCTGTCACCAGGTCTTTGAAGTTTCTACATTTTCCTGAAGCATGAGAACATCCATAGCAGGGATCAGTGACGAGGTCGACTTTATAAAAAAACATTAGCAAAAAAAAAAAAAAAAAAAGTAATAAAAATTTTTAAAAATTAAAATCTTTAAAAATTTCGTTAAAAGAGAGGAGAGGGAATTTTGGTGACACAACATGTCAAAAGATGCATGTACAAAGTGAGGTACAACCTAAAACACAGAGGAAAAGTCTTCTTTAGTAGTGAAAAATATTTAGAAATATGAAGTTCAAGAAAGACAGTCTTAACCACAAGTTTTTTTAAAAAAAAATTAATCAGAGAATAATGTCTCTGTGAGAGTGACTGCTAAGCATGAAGGTTGCAAGGGTCAGTAACAGGTACAGATTGTATTTTTCTTTCCAGATGAGAGGTTAAGGTTAAGGTAAGCGTAGGTTCCCAGGCCTGCCTATAAATTAGGATATCATTAGGGATCAAGAGTACCTTTGCACTGAGAAAAGATCAGGTGAGAAGCACAGCTCTAGAGTAGTTAAATGCTGCTCTGGGCAATCAAACAAGCTTGCTGCCTCTGTTAATATAGATGTCATGCATGTACCAGGGGAGAGCATGTCTGATAACTTTAATCAGGTTAACACACGTAACAAGGCTGTCTAGCTGTGGGAATCAGGAAGTCCATGACTGAGAATTTACAGTTTCTTGGCTGGGTGAATTAACCCATTCAGCACTAATGTAACATGATGTTTCTGTACCCAAGTAGCTCATTTCAGCACTTATACAAATTCAATCTGCAAAACAAATGGAAACAAATCAAAACATATTTTTATTTTCTGTTCTTTCAGGAACAGATTGATAGTGAAAGAAAGTTTCTATCTCCACAAATCATGTCTGGAGGAAAAATAGGTATAGGGAGAAGTTCTTTATGCCACAATGTGGTGGAAAAGACAGCGCTTCCGTGTTTTGACAGGTTAGGGTTGTACAATTGATTACTATAAATTCTACCTCAAAAGATTTTGCAAGATGCAGCTACCCATGTCTCTTGGCTCTATGGTGTAGAAAATTAGAGCCTCTGGCATCCACAAGTTAAACATCTCAGGATATCAGGTAGGTCATGAAAAGTGTATATTGAAATGAACTACCAGGAATGGGCTGAAGTTTACATGGGTATTTTGTATAGTATAAAACAAAAGAGACTTTTTATGTGTACTGTGCTAAGGGTCTAAACAGAAGTGATGATGAGTTTTAAAGTAATTTTTTCATTTGATAGTCTCGTGAAACCAAATTATTATAAATTTAGAGTGTTATTTATTACAAAATACTGCAACTAGAGTGCTATTCTAGTTGGTTTTTTTTTTTAGAAATCTGTGTGTTTTACTATCCCAGAGAATTTTATTTATGTCTTATGAAAACCAGGATTAAATCTGCATCAAGTCCTAGTTTGTATCAGATTGCAGCTCGGTAGCATCTTGTGAGCTTTCACTGCCTAAGATTTACTAACTTTCATATTGAAAGTAGATAAAAATGAGTAATCATCTGTGAATGATAATTATACCACTGCTTGTGGGAGGGAGCATGGTTTGAAGAGCGGATTTTTAAAAAACCTGAAAAACCACAGCAATGGTTTTTGGAGGCAGCACCTCTCCTCTCCCATCATTTTTCTCACAGGCTTCTAACTTGGGAAAGAAATCCTACAGGCTGGCAAGGTTCACTGAGAAGGAAGTAAAGTCTTCCTGATATGCAAGCAGAGATCCTCTTTCTGATGCTAAGGGAGTTAGAACATCATGGTCACCCTGGCATTTATCCTGGGCTCTTCAGCAAAAGAGACAGAGAGCAACATCCTAACATACAGTGACAAGACACAGATAACAGTTCCTAAGCACCGCTTCACAGCTTGACATTTTAGCAACCTCTTAGACAGAATTTAGTTTCCAATGGAGAATAAGCAGAGCTGTGGGGGCTCCTGCACACATACACAGGTGGCCTGCACAAACACTTGGTTTTGCTCTTGCAAGAGGACAAGAGGGCACAGACACACCCCTTTGCCCTGAGGAGGTGATGGGTAGCTTCCAGAGCCATCAGGCCTGGTGCAGGCATCAACACAGCAGCACCAGAGTGCTGCGTCCCTCTGTCCCCTCTGTCTATGCTGGCTGGGAATAGCCCAGCCCTCCCAGCCTCCCAACAATGGTGTCAGGTTTGACTCTTGTTCTCTGGACTGAACAAGTTGGGTTATTGCCCTGATTTTGGCTGTGGATGACCAAGGCACACTCACTTTTTCCCTTCTTGTCTCTTCTTCCACTTGTCCTTTTCACCAGACTTGATACTCCCTTTCTCCATCTCAGCCTCCTCCCAAAAGTACAACTCTGGCCAAATTACCTCCTCCCCATCGGTCCCAGTTTTGCAACAACCAGTGAAATCTGGTTTGTGATAGAGTTGTTATAGGCACACTCAGCTTTCTACGTGATTACTGCTGGAGCAGCTGAGGTGCTGTGGATTTTGCAAGACCATGTTCCCAAAAAGTCCCCAGTGCTCCCCTCCACTCTTCAGTGAATTTCAACCACTTCTTGTGTCACTCCACCTGCAAAACCCAGGCATCCCTTGGGGTATCATCTGTGACTGGTGTCAGGTGCCTGTGCTGGTACCTGCCATACCCAGCACGTTCTCTGTTGTGCCCAGCAGTGTCCCCAGTGCTGTTCACTCAGCCCATCCTCTCTGGCCAGGACTGAGCTGAAGCACAGGTATCCCTGTGTCCCTAGAAACCTACATTACACAAAGACAGGCTGCAGGCCATTAGATCCTTGATTACAACACACTGTGCTTTGGTTATTTATGACAGGGCCACTACGTGTATGAACATTAGTAGGATGCCCACAGATGCAAACACACAGTTATGCCTCCACACACCTTGCTTACTGCTCAGTCCTGTCTTTCCATCATGCTGCTTGTTTCAGCGGTGTGCACAGGGTAAATCTTAACTTGAAAGTCAATTTTATAGGTCAGTTCCTACAAATTTCATAGTAATTTCATTCCTGGCCTCATTCAGTTTGTGTAAGAAAAGGTTGCATCTTTAAATCTATGGTCCCATAATGCAGCTAGGAATTCCTCAGACAGGTTCTTGTAAAATTTTGGTTTTCACCAAAAATAGTGATTTCTTTTATTATCTTACCCCAGTTTACGCTTCTCTAAGATAACTACAACACACCTTCTAATAGTTTGCCTTCATTTTACCTACAAAATCTCATGCTGTGGCTATGAATATGAGCTGCCTGGTGACAACAAGATTTTGTTTTGCTGACGGTCTTGCCACAGGTTGGCGTGATTCTGACCATCTCCACTTTCTCAGCTTTTGCATGCTGCTTTTCCAAACATGACATGTTACAAACAGCCTCAGTGCCTACATAAATCCATAGCGTGACCTCTGCAGCACTGACATCCTTAGAAACCCAAAGAAAAACCAGCATGCCAGAGTACAGTACTTAGTATTTGCAAACCTATAATCTTCAGTTAAACTCAGCTGTCATTTGATTACCAAGGAGCCAAGAAGTCCAAGATTTGTTTACAAATCTTTTACTTTACAAAAGCAATACTAGAAAGTTGCAAGGGAAAAGCCTGAATTTCAGGGCTTTGTACATAAACTTGGAAGAGAAAACCTCTTTCAAGGAAGAGGAAGAGCACTGAAAGTTTAGCATATTTTCATAGTTTGAAATATTAGCATTAGCATAAATGTCTTAACTCATATTTTCCATAAACTGTCTCACAAATCATGGCACAGATTCTTGCCCTTCAGAGCTAAAATCATGGAGATATTGAAAGTGAAAAGCATTCAGACCAATTCAGAGTTTAAGAGAGTCAAACTGATTCATTGTTGTCAAGGGCACAAAGGTGTAGCAGCTGTACAGTGCAATAATTGCTTAGAGGAAATGTAAAACCATGGATGTAAAGGAACTAACCTGCCTTGTACATACACATGTGCAATGCCAGTTCCATTTGCTTGCTCCAAGTGATGTTATTCCATTTGTTATGAAATGGTGGAAAGTCCAGTGGCCAAAGAGTGGGAGTCAATCTGTCCAGCAGAAATTCAGATTATTCTGCTACACTGTGGTCCTCTGCTGAGAAGAGGGAGATAGTTTTTTTGGCAAGAGCAGACATGGACATTGCCATCTCACAGCCTAAATTTGTCCAGTTCCTTTTAAGATTAATCAAACTCTTTCCCCTTTCTTCCTCTTAAATGGCACTTAAAGCCATTACCAATAACCAGCTAATATGAAACATGATTGATTCCCATTTGGAGGAAGACAGATGAGTTTCTTGCACCAACTGCAGAAAATTAGTCTGTGTGTGTAAAATTCTCTCTGTAGGAAATGACTGACAGCCTAAAGTGATACAGCTGCAAAACATAAACATAGCAGTGCTTTTAGTGAGAGAACTTTGAATAACTGTTATTAATGTCCCTTCTAAGATGTCGCTTAGAAAACCACAATCAATTACTATAGTGATAGCAATACTATATATAGCAATTATATGCAAGAGATAGAGATGCTGGAAACCAGCTATTATTGCTTAGACATAGTAAAATTCTCCTTGTTAACACTCATGTTATGACCACAAACACACCTGCATTTTTAAAAGATTGATGATAAGTAGCATTTAAATACTGCCCTGTATTAATAAGCAAGGTCAATCACTGGTATCTCTTTGTAAATAACTTCCAGTTTAAAACATCATTTCTTTCCTGGGCCAGAGTACTCTCTATCTGTGTCTTCTAATTCAAAAGTAGAGAGAAGACAGTTGGAAAAGCAAGGACAGTGGGAGAGTGGCTGGGGAGGAGGCACTGCAAGAGAGTGGACATGAGCCCTGGCTGAGCCCCTGGAGGCAGTGCTGAGATGGCACCAGCAGCTCAGGAGAGTCTCTGGCACAGGAGGTGAGCTGGGAGGTGAACAGCCAGGGCTATAGTCAACTAATTATAACTAATTAGTTATAATGCCAGTGTGTATCCTCATCCTGTGGGTAAGGGAGGACAAGATGCACAAACTTAAGCTGTAGAAGAAACTTGCAGCTCTCAACAACTTCTCAGCATTTAAATATACTTCCTTAATAATACTGGTTTAGTGACATTCTCTTATGTGGCATTTATATTGTCTGAATTGCTAAGGGCTCACTTCCTATAAGGAAAAATCTGAATTAACTCCTCAGTGATGGGTTTGGACATGAAATGATGGGCTTGTGGTGTCTGAGGTACCTGCAGGCAGGGATGATGCTTTGTTTATATTTTTTCTTGTCTTCAGTTATTGCAATGTTTTCCAAGAAGAAAAAAATGTTAGCTCTCCTGAGCAGTAACAGACTTGTAAAACCAAACTCCTCTGTGTTATCCTTTGTCCTAAAGCAAACCTGATGTTTGGATCTGATTAAGTTTGTTTAAATACAAGTTAATTAAGGAAAGCAAGAATTTATTTTTTATTAATTTATTTTATTTTTTATTTATCACTCTTGTGATACAGGGAACAGGTAGAGTTCAGAAAGGATTTTCCTTGGGATACACCAGTGTAGGCCATCTGGTGAGGAGAACCACAGCAATTCAGGTCTTACTGGATTAAACCTGTATATAGGCAGTGCTCAGCAGAGAAAATTGGGACCATGCAGGGTGGGGAGATGTCCCAGGGCCATGAAACCTCAGGGCCTCAGAGGAGAGAAGGACTAGCAGAAAGAAGTGCTGCTTACATCAAGAGGCATCACAAGATCTCCTGTGTGTGCACATAGTGGCTGTGGAGGAGATGTGAATTCCATTTTGTCTTCCAATATCTTTGAGAGTGCTTGTGGGCCAGGGTACACTCACTAAATAATAGTGCTGAAGAGAGGATGTGGATTACAACTGGTTTTGGTCTGTGCTCCGGGAGTGCAAGAGAGGGAGAGAAAACCCCTTTGCTTTATCCTCTGATCAAAGCATCAGACATAATAAGGGTGCAAACTAAGGAAATCAGAATCTGTCTTGATAGAAAAGACTCCCATGAACAATTTATGAAGAAGGTTTGAGCTGATATTTTTGCTTTAGGCCTAAACAATCAAATTGACATTTCCACGGGTGGTAACCACATGAAGATGATGGGTGGATTTCCATCTGACTTCTCCAGTCAATTTTCAATAATCAGGCCTAATATTTCCTCCAAGGCTATTAGTATTTTAAAGCTGTTTAAAGTAGTTTCTTAAGAGCAGGGGGAAGGTAAGGCTTTAGGGGAAGGCAGTTCTGCTGCTCCTTCAGCAGAAATAAAACTCACATTTTGCTAACCCAGAGACAGTGGCAGTACAGATCTGCTTTCCTAAAGCCTATCTACAAATAGAAGTTTTTATCTAAAGTTTCTAATTTTAATTTTTCCTCATTCAGCTCATTCAGAAGATGGCACTCCAACATCTGAGGAAGAGCATATGTACACAGAGCTAAGCAGCCAACTAGCTTTAAATGCATAATTCCTCATTCAATTTCTTAATTCCTCATTAGCTTGCGTGTGCAAACTCAGAGCCCAATCCAAGTCCCACTGGTGTCAGTGAGAATGGGTTTTACCTCTCAGATTTAACCTAAAAATCTAAAAATCAGACATGTATTCCAAATGCAACTGTGGAGGAGCCACTTGTAGTGAAAATAGAGAAAGATCAGCATTTCAGGATATGATTCATTGCATCTTCCTTAAAGGCTTGTCTTGAGAGGGGACAAGTGTATTTCTGGCAGCTGCTATCTTTTTCCCCTGCTTGTAAAGGGAGCCTGTACAACCAACCAAGAAGCCTTCTTACTCTGATAAATGAAGCAGGGGAAGGAATCTTTCTGTTTATTTCAATGGAAAAGGAGTCAGACTTTCAGTTTTCCTCATCCTTTATGCAAACATAAATTACAAATGAGTAAGCAAGGTCCCAGAGGTTATCCCAACCTGCACCTCATGGGCTATTAACTCTGGCTTCAGTTAGCATTTGGGATGTATGGAAAAGAAATGTAAACTTCTGTAACAAAATTAAACTTTTTTTTAATTATTGTTCCTTGCATCACACTGGACTCCCTGACAGGGAGCACAATTAGATGGAAATCTCAAAGCAGTGGCAGAAGCTTTTTGTCTGTCTCCTCTAAAGACACTCACAGTGGGATATGTGAAATGTCAGGAATAATTAGACAAAACTATATGAGCTCCTAGCAACACTGATGTGCTGTGTAAAACCAAGCATTTGCCATAAAGCTTTAAACATTGTTGAAAACCTGCATGATAAAAGCAACCCAGGTAATTTTTAAGTACAGTTTCTAATATGTTAATACAGATATGGATATGAAAAAGCAGAATAGAAAGCGGTGAAATGCTGGGATGCCTTTGCTGAGACAGGCTGCTCTGCTGCTTTTTTTCCAGAGGTGATATATAAAAGTAATTGATGCCTCTCATATAGCAATTAAAATGAAAAGGCAAATTCCCTCAGCTCTTCATCTGCTAGAGTGTATTTTAACAAGCAGGAAAAGGACTAGCTCCTGGTATCAGTATCACAAAGATCATAGACATGTTTGTGAAAAGGGACCTCTGGAGGTCCCTTAGTCCAGCCTCCTAAAGTAAAATCTCCAAAATTGAAGAAGGAATAACCATTTCACATCAGCAGGAAATCTGGCCCAATTTGCCCTTTAGATAAGAAAAAAATGAACTATGAATGCAGAAAAAAGGGGAGAGAAAAGGCAAGAGAAGAGAAGGGAGAACAGACCAACATTTTATTTGAGATGATATTAGAAACACAGAACTTTTTTACCAAAAGATGGGATTATCCTAAATTGACTAACAGGTGTGTTTTTATCTTCTAGGAAAACAATGAACAGGAAGAAACCTGGAAGATTATTTGCTGCTCTGTCGAATATGGGATTATAAATTATTTTTTTTAAATTATACATAGAGCATCTCTTTCAAATGGATGACTTCTGAACCTAGAACTCTTCATTACCAACTTCTTGCATCCTGGAGGGGAAAATGAATTTCACAAATTGCACCACTGAAGCCAGTGTGGCTGCAAAGCCAAAAACAGTAACGGAAAAGATGCTCATTACCCTGACCTTGGCCACAATCACAACCTTGACTATGCTGCTGAATTCTGCTGTAATTGCAGCAATCTCCACAACCAAGAAGCTCCACCAGCCGGCAAATTATCTCATATGTTCACTGGCTGTGACGGATCTCCTTGTTGCTGTTCTCGTCATGCCCTTGAGCATCACTTACATAATGATAGACAAATGGACTTTGGGGTACTTCATCTGTGAGATCTGGCTTAGCGTCGACATGACCTGTTGCACGTGTTCAATCCTTCATCTGTGTGTCATTGCACTGGACAGGTACTGGGCCATCACAGACGCTATCGAATACGCCAGGAAAAGGACGGCGAAAAGGGCTGGGCTGATGATAGTCACCGTGTGGACAATCTCCGTTTTCATATCAATGCCCCCCTTGTTTTGGAGAAATCACCACAGCATCAGTATTCCCAGTGAGTGTCGCATTCAGCATGACCATGTCATCTACACTATTTATTCCACGTTTGGGGCATTTTACATTCCCTTGACTTTGATCCTGATCCTGTACTACAGAATTTACCACGCTGCAAAGAGCCTTTACCAAAAGCGGGGTTCAAGCCGCCACCTCAGCAACAGGAGCACCGACAGCCAGAACTCTTTTGCCAGCTGCAAGCTCACACAGACGTTCTGTGTCTCGGACTTCTCCACATCTGACCCAACCACAGAGTTTGATAAAATCAAACCATCCGTGAGGATCCCTCCTTTTGAGAACGACTTGGACCTGGCTGGCGACCGGCAGCAGATCTCCACGACAAGAGAGCGAAAGGCTGCTCGCATCCTGGGGCTGATTTTAGGTGCTTTCATTTTGTCCTGGTTGCCCTTTTTCATCAAGGAACTGCTTGTGGGCCTCCACATTTGCACTGTCTCTCCAGAAGTAGCAGACTTTTTGACCTGGCTTGGGTATGTCAACTCGCTCATCAACCCTTTGCTGTACACGAGCTTTAACGAGGATTTCAAGCTGGCCTTTAGAAAGCTCATCAGGTGTCGAGAACATACTTAAAAGTGCTGAGAGATGATGATGCTGGCATGACTCCTGGCCTTAAAAATGAGCAAAATCATTTGGCTCTGCCACCGTTTCCCTTGATAAAGGGGATTTTTGTGTTTGCCTATTTGCTTGACTGTTCTTCAGCCTGTAATTATGCCATTTTTTAATCTCCAGTGTTATTCATGGTAAAGGGTTTGAAATAAATTTATTCTACAAAGGAAACGATTTTTTAGAAATGAAACAGCAAAAAAATACTATTAGTATTAGGTACTCATGTCTAAGACATTTTGTGTAATCAATGATTCAAGAAGCAAACAATATTCACTTTTATACTTTTTCCATTTAAGAATCAAACATTGAAATTATGTACTGTATAAAATGAACCCCATAAATACATATTCAAAAATTAATAAACACTTCATGGTCATGAGAGCTAAACAGCATCTCTTTACTGTGGTGTTCTGAGAAAGCTGTAACAGCCATTTAGGAGGAAAATTACCACCATTTCCACCCTGGCTTGAGGCAGAATAGACTATTCCTTTCTTCAGGAATACACTCCCAAAACAGGAAGCAATGTTCAGTTCATTGCATCTAGAAATTATTCCATTTCATAACCCAAAAGAATTACTTAAGTGGCTCTCTTTGTGTAATATTCCAGATTTACAGTTGAGGTGTTGGGCAGACACCTGTGCAGATCGTTTGGCAATTGAGAGGATGCAGCTAGCAAGTGTGATACTTGTGAAACTAACTGCCCATCTGAGTGGTCTCACCTTCAATACCACTAACCCTGTTTCTTCAGGCCTTCTACTTTAGTCAGTTCTGGGGTGGTATTATTCACTTGAGCCATATTTCATCTGAGTCTTGTGGTGCACAGCCCCAAGGATCTATGGATCTTACCCCCAACAACTTAGGCAACTGGATATCTTCTCAGCAGGCTAGCAATATAGAGAAATTCAAAAACATTAGCTAAAACCTAATTATTTTGGAACATCAGAAAAAATAAATCAGTAACATGATTTGTTTTAAATAACAGTCTGCATATATGCTTGCTTGTCATCTCAGTTTGCAATGGCAATCTTGCCTACTTAACCTATGGTCAGGTGCTCTGGTAGGATTTCTTGCTCTGGGAGTCCTTCACAGACCTAATTCCCCTGTCCTGAGAGACAAAGAGTCCTTTGTATCCTGTCTTTTGTGGTTATGGAAGTTAAAATTTTATAATTCAAATATTGTGGAAATCAGTCAGGGAAGGGGCAAAATCAAAGCTGAGAATTTGGTATTGTCCATTAGCAACTCCCAAGCACCATTTGAATATTTATTACTTGCCTTGCACTCTAATGTTCTTCCCTGTCCATTTTTCTGGACAAATTCTTTTTGAATTACATGAATACACAACAGAGGAAATACCACATATGTCAACCTGACATGCAATAACAGTGAAAACTATAGTATGGTGGCTCCAAATCCATCAAAACAAATACTAGAGGTAGCAAAAGTGTTGCAACAGCACTGGAAGCCATCTCTTAAAAATGTTTTGAAAATTTACAAGATGACAATCATTTTTCTTATCAAGAGTCAAGGAAGTGTAAGTAATATGTGAGCAATAAACTGCAAATGGAACTGAGAAATGACATCCTTATTGGTGAGAGAAAGCATTTGGCTGGAAAGATGCAGTGCCACAAGCTGAGCGTAAACCAGGTCTGAAGGTGACAAAAGCGTGACCTGCTGCTTACCCACATGCAGTGGGATTCTTCTTTCAGGACTCCCTGCCAGAGTTTGGGAGGTTCATCTCCAGCTGTCCTTCTGAAGCTACTGTTGCAGTTGCCTCCTCCAGATGCCTTTGGGTTCCCTACTAGCAAACATTAATCCCTAAAAAGAGAGGAAAATTATCTCTGCCACTGAAAATATCTTTTAGTGAGGAAGCACAGATATCCATTATGGTTTTTCCTTTGTGCAGCTTGTTGGAGGTGGAAATTGTTGATTGAAATCAGGGAAGTGTGTCTTGACCCTGCCTATCAATAAAGCTTCCAAAGCAGCTCCCCAGAGTACATATGCTATTAAGAAAAAAAAAAAAAAAAACAACCTAAAAGCAAACCTGGAAGTTAAAATAAAAAATGTGGTATTTGTAAGAAGTGTTGCGGACTATATGTTTTTCTCTTTCAGAAAACGCAATAGAATTTATTACTAAAGAGCAAGGATTCAGAACAATTTCTGAAACAAGTTGACTGTGGCAGAGAAAACAGGACACACAGGCAGTTATGGCTAGAAGAGAGTAGATTTTGGTGTCCCTTGGGTGCACAAGGGTGCCCAGCTGCTGTGATGACCAGAAAGAGAAGAGTAAATGTACAAGACTGCCCCAGCAGACTGCCTGAGCCACGCCAAGGAGCTCAGCTGAGGCAGAAGCTGCACCCCAGCCAGGTTTTTCTGGGGGCTCAGCTGTGGGGTGGGCTGCACAGGGGGTCTTTCTAGGAGGAGGGAAGGGGTGGGAGTGACAGTGCTGGTGAAAGGTGTTTCAGAGGGGAAAACCAACAAAATGAAAGACTCTTCCAACTCCAACTGCTGCTCCTAAGGGCACATGGCACGCAGAGTAATTTAGGTTGGACGGGATCTCTGGAGGCCAGCTAGGCCAAGCCTCCTACAAACAACAAACCTCAAAGTGGGACCAGCCTCACAGCTCCACACTGCTCTGACATGCTGTGTGCAGTCATGTTTCTCATGGAAAAAACAGCAGCTCAGTTAACTCTGTTGCCAAGACTGATGCTCATTTAAAGCCGTAAGTGTGGCCGAAGGCTGGAAATGCTGAGTGTGACCTCCACAGCAGCTGTCGTAGGCAGGTAGCAGTACTTCAGAAACATGGATGAAAGCTGTAAAACACAGGAGCTACATCATCTTTATTTCTACTAATGGCTTCCTTTTAGTATGTGAACACTGCTGTTACCACTCAAACTACCAATCAGGTTGAAGGCTGTATTCAATTTTAATATTTAGAGGTAATTAACAGGAAAAAACAGATGGATGGCTAATTTCCGTGCTTTCCTGTTAAATAAAGACTCACCATTCACTGCCAGCTGACTACTGATTTTCTAATTAAGTCATTAGCTAAACACAGAGAATGTTTTCCAACAAATGCCACTAGATTGATGAAGATGTATGTTTTCCCCATGCTCAGAATCAAAGTCAGGAACAATATATAGGATTGGCTACTTATAACAACTCAACTTGATCAGAAATTACCAGTTTTCTCATAAAAATAAAACTAGTCTGACACTGCTGTTTGACAAAATCCTTTTTTTTTTTTCCTATGTTACATTTTTGCTGCTTTTACAATGGGTTTGGAGACATTTCTTGACCTGTCCATGGCAGCTCCCTATTCGCAGCTATCCTGGATCAGTGCCACCCACACCATGTTCAGCAATACAAGGTCTTCCCAACAAGCTCTTACTGATATATTCAAGACCTACAGACTACCTCCATCTTCCTTAACCTCTCTAAACCACCCTGAAATCTCAGTCTTATTATCTCTAATGGTGCCCTTGCAAAGCTGTCTTGCTTTACAGCCTTAACTCCCTGCCTGTCCTGTCTTTGGGTTTCTGACTCTTTCTAATCCCTAAATTTATTGTGGTCCTACTAGAGCAAGACGTTGTTCTCCCCCCATCTCTCAGCAGTTATCAGAATCCCCATTATTGTAGCTGTTCAAGTCTGTAAGATTTTACTCTGTCTTACATGTATCCAGGCCATATCCAGAAGGTTTTTGCCTTCTGTAAGCAGCCAGTGCTTTGGAGTGAGTTCATATGTCCCTGACAATTCTACCGATCAACAAGTTGTCCTCCCCAAAAGACAGACTCTTCAAATGGTACTTTACCTATTTTTATTTTGTTCCCTTTCTTCTGTACCCTATCCTTTTCCCTTTCTTCCACATTAAAATTGACACTCTTATTATTATTTTATGGACCTGTATCTTTGCTTTTGGGGACCTGTCCCTGCACAGGTTACTCAGGTTTCACTCAGCTCCTGCTCTTCTGCCTGTGCCAGCCACAGCTCTCTTCTCTGCAAGCTTTGTCCCACCACCTCCATGGTCTTTCTGGATCTCTCCTGCTCCTTGCAGCTGATGGGTTTTTTTCCTTCTCAAAACCACTTCTGATATGGTAAAACTCCTGAAACAAAAGCAGTCACCGTGGGCAGTGGAGGAATTAGTGTGTGTGTGTATTGTCTTTTTTTTCTCCACCTCTCCCTTACAGATCACATCCTCTTCTGACATGAGCCATCTCTGCCTAGTGCACAGCATGCATAGACACAGCAAAAACTCGTTAAGAGTTGCATCTGCCCTGACCCACCTGGATTTGGCCCCTGCACAGTACTTTAAAGTTGTGGGTTCCTCACCACAATGATGTACCCAGTTGTTCATTGCAATTATCCAGAGGTTAATTTTGTTGATCTTCCTGTGCGGAGAAAGATGATGGGATTGAACTTTCCAAAGGATTTAAAACAAAGCCCCTGCCTCACCAGTTTTATATAAAAGGCTGTCACTATTCAGATTTCACTACTGTGCACCTGAGCTGTCCAGTTTTCGATAGTTATCACTTCTTCTTTCTTTGTCCTTTCCATGTGCAACGAAGGAAAAAAAAAAAACCACAAAAAAACCAAAAAGAAAACAAAAATAAAACCCCAAACTAGCAAAAAAAAAACAAATTTAGAAATCGGGTTTTTCTAAGAAAAGATATTAAAATAATAAAGGAATATTTTCTAAAGACTCAATTTCCCACTCCTCTGTTTTGAATTCCAGTTATCAAAAAGTAAAGAGCATTAAAGTGCTGAGGGGAAATACAAGCTTCCAGCTTGAGTGCAGAGATAGTCCTTGTGCCTGGGTATTGTTTAACCATTGCAAATATCAATAAGAGACAAACTGGTTTTTATCCATCCTTTACACACCCAAATGTTTTCTATGAAGAATTATCTCAATTGCTTATTGCTTAAGTAGACACAGTAAATCTTGTGGTATTTTTTATTGTTCAAGTAATATTTCATAAGAGTCCTATGCAATATATTGTCACCCTTTCTAATTGCTATCTGTTTTTCACTTGGGGCCAAAAATATGTTTTTTTAATTATCTGATGTTGGATAAATTCCAGGTTCATCTGCTGTAAAATTATTCTTTAGCATTCTCTATTTTACTGTATGTACATTTACAAACATTGCCCCCTTCCTCTCTTACACTGCCAGGGGATCTTTACTTCTTCATTAATCCCATGCAGGTGATCACCTATAGATGATGTTACATGATTAAATTACTCCTTCCTACTCAGCTAATTTCTGTGCTTCTATGAATCAGTGCTTAAATATAAATTTTTGATGTTGCTGCTGTGAGTAGAAGATGTAACCATGAATGAGCTGTGGGAAAAAAAAACATTATTAGAAAATTATATTAACATATTCTCAAAGACCTAAGGGAAAGAGACTAATTTCAACTTTTTACCTTCTTAATCACTTTTCTTTCCTCTTCATTTCACTGTTTCCTGGTCTGTGAATCCTGTTCATTAATTTTTCCCCCTGTTTATCTTTCTCTCCCTCTTTTCCTTGGCAGCCTTCCTCAGCACCACAGCAGCATCTAGCAGCCTGTAGCAAGAAGCAAGGCCACATTGTGCTGTGTTGATACACATCACCTAAGCATCTGCTCTTGGTTTTAGGAAATCAGGTCCTGCAACCTGATTTCCTAAATTTCCAGGCTCTGTTCCATGGTGCTTTTCTGCACAGCCTCTACTTCAGCTTTACTGCAGTTTTACTAAAAATCATATTTCTATCATACATCGAGATTCTTCCAAGTGAAAGGTGCTTGTATTAAACCATGGTGTCACAATTTTTGAAGATGTCTTTTTAATAATTCCCCCTCTTACCCTCACCTGTGAGTCTTCCATCAATAAAACCTAAAGCCACAGCTAGCATGGTTTCCAGATGGAAGAAGTGGCGCTGGAAATACCCACTCCACTTCTCCCACTGCCACTCATATTTCACGGTCTTCCAGTTGCTTCCGCTGCATACTTAAAACACATTAGCATATAGAGCAGCTTTCTGAACTTTTTGTGAGTTGATTTCCTGCATGACAGGTTCTGAGCCTTGTTTCTATCTGGTGCAAGATCCCTTGTCACTGGGGTACTCAAATATTCTAATGTACTGCATCTCCCATATTCATTTTGTACACCACAAGACTGCAAATGGCACACATTTCTCTGAGGTGAGGCACAAAGCACTGTCTCCTTGCAACTACACTTCATAAAAGATGCATGTTTTGTCAACTAAGAAACAAAACATAACTTTTGGGAAGAGGGGTGACAGAATTCCTATTCCTTTGTAAATTGTTTTGCGCACAATCTGAAATGACTTCTGGATATTAACTTTAAAAGAGCGCTAAGAAACAAAACATAAAATCACATGTGCAGGCCTGAACAACTTGCAATGAGCAGAGTGACTCTCCAGTGGATTTTACAATAAAAATTGTTTCTCTCCAAAGCTTTCTACAGTGACCTTTCCAAGGGAATAGAAAGTTCCACGCAAATGACTTTCACCTTTGTAATGCCACTAGAAATATTATCTCAGTCCTTTATAGGAGGAACAGCCTGCCAAGCTGCGAGACCGCTGGGTTAAGCCTCAACAAGCTTATTTCTTCAATAAATAAAAAGTGAGGCTAACACCTCCAGCTTGAGGGTTTTAAATTGAATTGACCACTAAAATAAAGTCTATCAGCTAGAGTTTTCTTTTTATTTGTACATACTGCAGTGTAATTCCTCATTTGTTTATTGCTAAGCCTGCATATGAGAAATTAAAATAATCCCTTTTTAAATTCAGAATAACAAGAAAATAGTCTCTCTTATTTTTCCAGTTTCAGAACACTTCTGTATTATGACTGGACAGTCATTTTGAAGCTGACAGAAAGAAAAAATTAATCCAATTAGATCCACAGGATTTAATCTAGGATTGCAAAATTAAGCGTGGTTGTCTTGGTCTGCTGCATGCACATACACGCAAGTCACAGATCAAAATCCTTTAATTTTTCAGTACAGCAGTTTCACCACTCAC